CTAAACAAAGGAAAAAATAGAGGGGGATAGGGAGAACGGGAGGAAGGAATGTAAGTAAAAATAGAATAGGAAGAAAGGAAGGAAAAGCTGGCCGTTGGGACCAGAACGCGTTCCTATTGTGTATATGCGCACGAATGCATATTATCGTTGGCCCCAATAGCCTCGCGTGGTGTTCGATCTGAACGAAAACATGTATGCGTGTAAGAGAAAATGACGAGAGATTGATACTTTACGAGTATTTATTGCCATATCGATCGCGAATGGATTTCTGATTGGTTCGTTAGAATTTTTTTAATATCGCGCCTCGCATTTGATTGATCGTCTTGATTTGACACCATTTTTAATATTTGGCGGATAATACTTATTGCATAGTGCTTCGAGTAGATCTCGTTTTTTTAGAGCGGAATAATGTTTGTTTTTAATGCGATCAATGGTCTTATTGCATTTGGTTTTAAGCAGGTTTTGATTTTTTGAAAAAGAATTTGATCAGTGACCCTTGTTTTTAACTGTTTCGTTAATCCTAGTAGATTTTGATTTTTTGGGACAGAAATTGCATCGAAGTGATAGAGAGGATCCATCATATTTCTTTCAGATTAGAATCTGACATAATAGATTGGCCATTTTGACTAAAAATTTATATACAGATAATGGAGGTTGATAGCGATGCATTGACAAAGATTGATATGATGCGGTATCCAATAGTTAATAATTTTCCAAGAACATCGCGACAATAAGATAAAATTTGATCAATTATTCTTAGGATAAAAATTATTAAAATTGTCTTAACTATTAAAAAAAAAAAAAAAATTTCTAAATTTCTTTGAGATCTCAAAAAATTTATTCATCAAATTTCAATTTTCATATCCTTATCGTCTCAAAATCTCTATAAAACTATATCTAATTAATACCAAATCTAAACTATATATAAACACATTTCAATTAAAAATTACCAATTTCAAAAAAAAAAAAAAAAAAGCAAAATCATATTTCATTACATTTCTGACCTACAATTTACATTTTTCAGGCGAAGCATGGAAGAGACGTGGTTCTCCTGTTCACTTCCATATAAAACCCTTTTATATACGTGTATACGGAATAGTGACCAGCTTGGCAGTGCTTGGACCGATCGATTTTTCAGTATTTCCGCGTGTATCGATACCCTCTCGTCCGCGGTTCCCTTTTTTTCCCCTCCTTCTTTCATTCCCTTTTCTCCGCCATCCTCCAAGTCATACCACTCTTTCTCTCCAACCTTGCTAAGTGGATTATCATCGTTGGGGATTTCGAGCGTCGGTCTTTGACGTAACGAGAACGAGGAGTGCGAGAAACGGTGGCGCGAGTTCGAAGGCAAGGCGCGCATGTCGATGCTCAAGGCAGCCAATGGACTGGTTGAAATATTAAATGGGAGCAAAGACCCTGTTCTCGTGCACCACGTAGCCATGGTTCAATTTCTACGCCGGCGGCGGCCTAGGTGTGGGGAGAGGGGTTGAATGAAAAT